AGAGAGAGAAAAGAAGCGAAGCCAAGCACCAGTGGCTCACGCCTGTAATCCTAGCTACTCAGGAGGATGCACACACTGGAGAAATATACTCAAAGGACCAAAGCATGGGTTGTAAGTTGACAACCACTTTGAGCCACACCCCCAGCTCCTTTGTTTGTCTTTTTGTTTCTGCCATAGCAGCCTTGCTAACTTGGCCCAGGCTGGCTTCTTATTCCCAGATCCTCCTGCCTCTGCCTCTGTGTACCTAGAAATACAGGCATGTACCCCTACACTCCACTCACTCACATTATTTCTTTGGTAGGAGTTCAAGCCTCAGGATCAGTGTACCAAAAAAAAATAAATAATAATCCAGGCAAGGTCAATACCGTGTGGAGACTCTTGGAGGCTGGCCAGTACTGGGTCACTAAGAAGAGGATTCAGGTGGAGTTCAGCTGACCGAAGAGGAAGTGGTATTCCCAGTACCGTCCGCCCTTCTTGGAGAGTGTTCTGGACCTGGACAAGGACTGGAACCTGGAACCAAGCAAAACAGAATAACCTGTTTGGAGAAAATGGACTCACCAGGACAGGTGCCAGGACACCCGTAAATCCTGTTGAGCATGCCTGTCATCCTAGCTACTCAGGAGGCTGAGATCTGAGGATCGTGGTTCAGAGCCAGCCCAGGCAAGGATAGACTGGGAGACTCTTAGCTCCACTCAACTAGGTCCTTCCCCCACCCCACCCCCAAAAATGCTGAAAGTAGAGCTGTGGTTCAAATGATAGAGTGCTAGCTTGAGCAAAAAAGCTCAGCGACAGTGCCCAGGCCCTGAGTTCAAGGCCCAGAACCGAAAGCAAGCAAGCAAGCAAGCAAGGAACAAAGAACAAAAAGAAAGAGAGAGACAGACAGAGAAAGGGAGGGAGGGAAGGAGACAGGGGAAGGGAGGGAGAGGGAGGAGAGAGAAAGAAAGCAAATGGGCTCATTTAACCACCTCAGACCAGTTCCTGTCCTCATTCTAGAAGTGTGAGATCAGAAAGACCCACCTGAAATATGGAACACCAAAACCAAAGACCATAGGTTTTGCCTTTGGAACAATGAATCTGGCCTCCTCTCCCACCCATGATACTGCCAGAGGCCACTGCACAAAGAACAAGAGCAACAGGAGCCAGAACCACCTGTGGGCTGAGGCAGGAATGGAAGTTCACAAGCAGTAATGAAGAGCCTGGATTTAGCTTCATATCTGGTTTGAAACCAGACTTGAGTTTAATCCCATTTCTTCTACTTATTTATCTGGTATTCTTTTGTCCCCTTAGCCCATTCTCCTCCTGCTCCACTACATATGTTACCAGTGTGGAAACGTCATCTCTTGGTTCTATGGCTAGCCAGGTGTCTCTGATCCAAAGCAATCCATGGAGGCATTTCTGTATAAGTTCATGACTTATGAGCTCATTTCTTTTCTTTTTGCCAGTCCTGAGACTTGAATTTAGGACCTAGGTACTGTCCCTGAGCCTCTTCTGCTCAAGGCTAGCGCTCTACCACTTGAGCCACAGCGTCACTTCTGGCTTTTTCTGTGTATGTGGTACTGAGGAATCGAACCCATGCTAGTGCATGCTAGGCCAGCACTCTACCGCTAAGCCACTTCCCACCTCCTGTCACTCCCTTTTATATCACCATTTCAATCAGTCTTACAGAAACACTAGAATCAGAAGCAACAGAAACACTTCTGCTTAGAAGAACATACAAACCTCATCCTCTTTTAGGTGTTGGGACCAAATTCAGCATTAGGAAGCATCACCCAGGGGGACAGGCTGGAACCAATGTTCTTGCACAGATTCTGTGGAGGGCCTAAGGTTTTCCATCATGAACCCATTTCTCTACAAACACACGCTGAAATCTCAATAGCTTTGGAACCTGCTTTAATGAGCATTAAGTTACTACTAGTGTGCTGTCATCATGCATAGAAATCACAAGCTCACCCATCAGCCCAGCCTCCATAAGCCAATGTCCCTCCCTCCACAGCCCCCCCCCCAGCCATCTCACTTTTAGTGCCAGTCCAACCAGATCTTTCTGCAGCTCCTCTACCTGGGCCACAGCCTCCTTGCCACTCCCAGGATGATGGAGCTGCACCCAGGTCCGGATCTCCCCGGGAACTGCTCCCACAGCAACAGCTCAAGGATCGGAGCCTTGGTGGGTGCTTCTGGCCTCAGCCATCGTCGACAGAGCTCAGAGCCTCCTGGGATCCAGATGTGTCATGGTAACGTAATCGTCTGAAGTGCTGATGGAGGTCTCCCACACAGAGGAGCTGCTCACTTGGATGCTGGTCCCCTATGTCTAGATATCGGCCTTCTTGTCTCAGAGCATTGTGGGCCCCATTTTCTCTTGTCATCGTCTTTCACAAGAAGTTCTTTCCTCGTCGTTCCCTTAATTCATGCTTGAGTTCTCTCTTAGGGCTTGGGGAATATCACCTGTAAGACCTCAAAAAAGCACGGTTAAAAATTAGTCCAGCCGAGCGCTGGTGGCTCCCGCCTGTCATCCTAGCTACTCAGGAGGCTGAGATCTGAGGATCGCTGTTCAAAGCCAGCCCGGGAAGGAGAGACCGTGAGACTCTTATCTCCAATAAACCACCAGAAAACCGGAAGTGGCGCTGTAGCTCAAGTGGTAGAG